CTCAGTCCAGCCCTGCATCTAGCCAGTTTTCTATCCATCTTACAGCCCATTTATCCGCTCCATACTCCCGTAACTTGCTGGCAAGAGTATTGTGGGAGACCATATCAAAAGCCTTGCTAAAGTAAAGGTATATCATATCCACTGACTTTCCCACGTCCACAGAGCCAGTTACCTCATAATAGAAGCTAATCAGATTAGTCAAGCACGACTTGCCCTTCGTGATCCATGTTGACTATTCCTGATCACTTTCCCCTCTTCCAAATGCTTCAGAATGGATTCCTTGAGGATCCCCTCCATGATGTTTCCAGGGACTGAGATAAGGCTGGTCTGTACTTCCCTGGATTGTCCTTCTTCCGTTTTTTAAAGATGGGCACGAAATTTGCCGTTTTCCAAACATCCAGGATCTCTCCCGATCTACACAAGTTTTCAAAGATAATGGCCAAAGGCTCTGCAATGATATTTGCCAGCTCCCTCAGTACCCTTGGATGCATTAAATCCGGACCCATGGTTTTGTTTGTTTAGCTTTTCTGAATAGTTCCTAATCTGTTCTTTCCCCACCAGGGGCTGCCCTTCCCATACTGCGTTACCTAGTGCATTAGTCTGAGAGCTGACCTTGATTGTGAATACAGAGGCAAAGAAAGCATTGAGTACTTCAGCTTTCCCCACATCATCTGTCACTAGGTTACCTCCCTCCTCCAGTAAGAGCCCCACACCCTCTCTGATCACCCACTTATTGCTAATATGCCTGTAGAAACCTTTCTTGTTACCCTTCATATTCCTTGCTAGCTGCAATTCCAATTGTGCGTTCGCCTTCCTGCATTCTTGAGCAATATACTGATATTCTTCTGTAGTCATCTGTCCAAGATTCCACTTCTTGTAAGCTTCCTTTTTGTGTTTTAGGCTCACCAAGTATTTTCCTGGTAAGCCAATCTGGTCTCCTACCATATTTGCTTTTCTTACTGTTCATTGGGATGGTTTCTTCCTGTGCCTTTTAATAAGGCTTCTTTAAAATACTGCCAGCTCTCCTGGACTCCTTTCCCCTTCATGTAAACATCCCAGGGAATCCTGCCCATCAGTTCTCTGAGGGAGTCAAAGTCTGCTCTTCTGAAGTCCAGGGTGTGTATTTCACTACTCTTATTTCTTCCTTTGGTCAGGATCGTGAAATCTACCATCTCATGATCACTGCTTCCCAGGTTGTCACCCACCTCTACTTCCCCTACTAATTCCTCCCTGTTTGTGAGCATCAAGTCAAGCTGTGCATGGCCGCTGGTCAGCACTTGTACCAAGAAGTTTTCCCCAAAATTCTTCAAAAACTTCCTGGATTGTCTGTGTACTGCTGTATTGGTCGCCCAACAGATGTCACGGTGATTAAAGTCCCCCATGAGAACCAGGGCCTGTGATCTGGAAGCTTCTCTCTGTTGTCTGAAGAAAGCCTCATCTACCTCATCTACTTGATCCAGTGGTCTATAGCAGACATCAACCACAACATCACCCCCGTTGCTTCCACCTCTAAACTTAACTCATAGACTCTCAACAGACTTTTCTCCCTCTATATACTGGATCTCTGAGCAATCATACTGCTCTTTTACATACACTGCAACTCCTGCTACTTTTCTCCCCCGCTGTTCTTCCTGAACAGTTTATACCCTTCTATGACAGTGCTCTAGTCATGCAAGTCATCCCACCAAGTCTCCTTTATTCCAATCAAATCATAGTTCTTAGTCTGGGCCAGGACTTCTAATTCTTCCTGTATGTTTCCTAGGCTTCTTGCATTTGTGTACAAACAACCAGTTGATTGCCCTACCTCCTCCATTCGAATGAGGGGTCCTCCTTTGTTGCTTTTTCCTCCTTGTGTTTCTTCTCTAGATCACTTAAAAATAAGTTGAATAGGATGGGTCCCAGGACAGACCCTTCGGGGACCCCACTAGTTACCTCTCTCCACTTGGAAAACTTACCATTTATTCCTACCCTTTGTTTCCTGTCTTTTAACCGGTTACCAGTCCACAAAAGGACCGTCCCTCTTTTTCCATTAAAATTTACTTTACTTAAGAGCCTTTGGTGAGGAACCTTGTCAAAGGCTTTCTGGAACTCTAAATACACTATATTCACTGGATCCCACTTGTCCACATGTTTGTTTGACCCCCTCAAAAAACTCTAGCAGATTAGTAAGGCATAATTTCCCTTTACAGAAACCACGTTGACTTTCCCCCAACAAATTATATTCATCTGACAGTTTTATTTTTTACTGTAGTTTCAACTAATTTGCCTGGTACTGATGTCAGACTTACCAGTCTGTAATTGCCAGGATCATCTCTAGAGCCCTTTTTAAATATTGGCATGACATTAGCAATCTTTTAGTCTTTAGCTATAGAAGCTGATTTAAAGGCTAGGTTACAAACCACAGCTAATAGTTCTGCAATTTCCCATTTGAGTTTTCAGAACTCTTGGGTGAATGCCATCTGGTTCCAGTGACTTGTTACTTTTAAGTTTATCAATTTGTTCTGAAAGCAACAATCCCAAAGATCCAGTGCATCCAAATACAACTTTCCTTCACTGTCTAGGACCTTCTATCAACAACGGGCCCTTGTTACGATGGAGAAATTGGTTCTCCAGAGCAAATTGGGCTACACAATCTCTATACTCCCTTCTCCAGCCCTCTTAATGTGTGGTATGGGAAAGCACTGCTAGGCAAAATCTCCCAATAGCGGCGCGAGAACGCACAGGTACGCACATCTTGAAGAACCATCCTTACTGCACAGGGCGAGAATCTCCTTCATGTTTGCCCTCCGAACCCCACCCAGGGAAGACCACCCAGAACTGTTTTGCAGCCCGCCCTTGAGGAATGGCCCATACTTTGAGAACCTCTATAGCAGAGCACTGAGTGGAGTGGGACGATGGATAGTTTTTGTAATACTTCAGTATTCTTGCTCCCCCATCATACCCAACCCAAGTATTGGCAGGTAGTAGGCATCTGGAACTGGAGGTACCACATTCAGCTAGAGGATATCACTAGTGTTTTAGTTTGTGTATATGAATTCTGCATAGAACGAGTATAAAAGCATCTTAAGATTCTCTCCTCCTTATCTCATCCTTTGCAGAATCTTGACCTACTAATAATTCCCTTAATTCACTGATACGCAGTCGGCGTCTGAGTGAAATTCAGTATCTGTTTAAAAGGTACACAGCAGAACTAGGGCAGGAAATAAGGTCAGCAATTTCCAGTTCTGTTTTTGCCGCCTTACACAGTTCAATCAGATGTTCCTGTTAATTTTCTTCATATTCTCCTGAGACACTCTTGCTAACTTGATCATAAATGAGTATTATAAGTTATTTGGGGATGGTGCCCCCTGCTCACTATGCTCGCCATCCCCCCTCTCCAGGGATAGGCAGCTCCCGCTCTCTCCTCATCCGCTGGGGAGGGCCAGGCTGAGCTGTAGCAGCCCTGGCCTGCTCCAGCTATCCCCTCTCCAGCTACCAGTGGGGGAGAGATCTCAGCTGGCCCGGCTTCCTCCGTCCTGGCCACTGGGGGGTTGGACCAGGCCGAGGTTGGGCTGGCTCCCTTCCTCGGGCTGCTGGGTGGAGATTGGGCCGGATGGAAGCTGTGACTGGCCTGGCTCCCTACCTATGGCCACTGGCTGGGGAGAGGGCTTGGCTTGACCCTCTTGCTCTGGCAGGGAGGAGGAAGGGAACAAGGCTCTGGCCCCCTGCTGGCGAGGAGCAAGGCTATGTGGCCCCTGCATGCCCCCCAACCACTGGGGCACTGTGCGTGTCCTATGCACCCCCCCACCTGAGCCCCCATGAGGCTCTACAGCTCCCTCGCATCCCCATATACCCCACCCAAGCCCCCAAGAGATCATGAGGCTCCCATGCCCTCCCTCCCCAAACCTTCCGCACACCCCCAACCCAAGCCCCCACGATTCCCACATGCTGCCCTCACCTGAGCTCCCACAGCTCCCATGTGCCCCTTCCCCCCCCCACCCACAGCTCCCAGAGGCCCTCCCCTTCTGCCTTCCTGCCCCCAGCTGAGCCCCCACATGGCCCTCCTCCCCACACGAGCCCTTGCAGCTCCCACATCCTGACCACGGCTTCCACACACCGCCTCCCACCCAAGTGTCCTACTCTCCCACCCCAGATAGCGGAAGAGCCACGCGGCTCAATTCAAACTCTGGCAGACACCTGCCCACGTGGCAGCTGCTGGAAGGACATCCAGCCCTGGGTCAGTGGCCAGCACTGTGGGGGAGAGTAGCGGGGGACTGGCAGTGAGACCTGTGGCAGGAGGCAGAAGGTCCTGCTGCAGAGGCCCAGGGGTGAGGGCTGACAGGCTGGGGATCACCCTGTAGGAGGCACCCCGGCTCCTGAGCCAGGGCTGGACATCCAGCTCTGGCTCTGGGGGACAGGGGTGACCCCCACTCCGGCCCTCCCTCCCTCCCCCTGTTGTAGAAATTGTAACTCCTGGCAGTGTGCCACGTGGTGGCTAACAGAGGCACATCCGCTCCTGGCCCCAGCTCAGGGACTGGGTGCTTCCTAGCCTGTTTCAGGGGCCAGAATGTCCCACAGTCCAGTATGCCCTGCCCCACAGCAGGCCTCTCCTGTGGTTCCCTCTGCCCCCCACCATAGGCCTTACTGCACTCCGCCCCACTCCTACCCAGCTGGAGCTTTTGCCCCCCGACAGCAGGCCTCTCTGCTGCCCCACTCTCCCTGCTGCAATTTTCCTCCTCCCCCCCAGAAGCCCACTAGCAGCAGCTTACCTTCAGTGCTACTGCTCCTGTTGTGATGGGTTAACAGTGGGGAGAAAGTGAGGAGGCGGGACAGTGGAGGTGGGGAGGGGCTGTGGGATGCAGGAAAAACTTTTTAAAATAGTATAGATTTGTTAAGTCTAGTATCGTAGTTTTTCCTGATCACTTGGTCAGAGACCAGTGACTGTTTTGAGGCCTGAACTACTTCAATGTAGTTCATCTTCACTTTGTGTAAATGCCGTATTTTGCCCTCTTTCCATTCAGGCGCTACAAAGAGGAAATGTACTGGCGGCGAGTAGAGGAAGAGCAGTTATACTGGGAGGACCAGTGGCGTTGGATGGCTGCAGACTGGCATCCACCCCCACTTATGGGCAGACCTGGCATGCCAGTTCCTCCTCTCTTGGTAGGTAACCCTTGATTCTGTTCCAGGAGAAATGTGAAAAAGTCTGGCATCTTGAAACTCTGTTTCAAGGCTCAAATGTCTATTCCTTTGTGTATTCTTGGAATACTGCACGATTAATGTTATGTTTCCTAAAAACCCAGAATTGGTATCAGTAATGGGCACAGATTAACTTTGCTTTTAGTTGGTTGCAAAGTTTTCGACAAATGCACGTTTGAAATGCTGGACTGCCTGACCAGATAAACATATGAACTCCAGATTAATAACTTTCTCTTTAAAGGATATGATTTGCCTATCCTGTCCTTATGTTCAGCTACAAAATCATAGAATCATAGAATAATAGGACTGGAAGGGACCTCGAGAGGTCATTGAGTCCAGCCCCCCGCCCTCAAGGCAGGACCAAGCTCCACCTACACCATCCCTGACAGATGTCTATCTAACCTGTTCTTAAATATCTCCAGAGAGGGAGATTCCACCACCTTCCTTGGCAATTTATTCCAATATTTCACCACCCTGACAGTTAGGAATTTTTTCCTAATGTCCAATCTAAACCTCCCCTGCTGCACTTTAAGCCCAATGTCATTTGAAAGCAGCTGTCTGTATACTCTTCTTAACCCCCAGTACCTAGACACTTAAGCCTCTTTAGTTTTTATCATGCCTACATTCTGCATACCTTCCCCTCCACTCATAGAATCCTAGGGCTGGAAGAGAACTTAGGAGGTCATTGACTCCAGCCCTCTGCCCAAAGCAGGACCAACCCTAACTAAATCATCCCAGACAGGGCTTTGTGAAGCTGGGACATCAAAACCTCTAGGGATGGAGATCCCATCCTAGGTAACCCATCCCAGTGCTTCACTACACTCCTAGGGAAATAGTTTTTCCTAATATCCAATCTAAACCTCCTACGCTGCAACTGGGAGCCTCATTCTGCCATCTGTCATTACAGCCTCTCTCCATCCTCTTTGGAACTTTCTTTCAGGTAGTTGAAGGCTGCTCTCAAATCCCCCCTCACTCTTTTACAAACTAAACAAGCCCAACTCCCTCAGCCTCTCCTCGTAGGCCATGTGCTCCAGCCCCCTAATCATTTTGGTTGCCGTCTGCTGGATCTTCTCCAATGTGTCCACATCCTTTCTGTAATGGAGGCCCCAGAATTGGACACAGTATTCCTGATGTGGCCTCACCAGTGCCAAATAAAGGGGAATAATTCTTTTAATCTGTTGGCAATGCTCCTCCTAATGCAACCTAATATGCCTTTAGCCTTCTTGGCTACAAGGGCGCACTGTTGACTCATATCCAGCTTCTCATCCACTGTAATCCCCGGGTCCTTTTTTGCTGAACTGCTGCTTAGCCAGTCAGTCCCCAGTCTGTAGCAGTGCTTGGGATTCTTCTGTCCTAAGTGCACTTGTCCTTGTTGAACTTCATTAGATTGCTTTTGGCACAATCCTCCAATTTGTCTAAGTCACTCTGGCCCCCATCGCTACCCTCCAACCCTAGCATAGTGTTATCCTCAAACTTGCTGAAGGTGCAATCCATCCCCTTATTCATGTTATTAATAAAGATGTTGAACAGAATGGGCTCTGGAACCATGGGGCATTCCATTTGAAACCGACTGCCAACCAGCCATCAAACTGTTGGTCACTCACTACCCATTGAGTCCAACAATCTAACCATCTTTCTCTCCACCATACAGTTCCCTTATCCAATCAATATTCCTTAACTTGCTGGCAAGAATATTGTGGGAGACCGTATCAAAAGCTTTGCTAAAGTAAAGATAGATCATGTCTACTGACTTCCCCATGTCCGTAGAGCCAGTTACCTTGTCATAGAAAGCAATCAGATTGGCCAGGCATGACTTGTCTTTGGTGAATTCAGGTTCACTATACCTGATCACTTTCCCCTCTTCCAAGTGCTTCAATATGGATTCCTTGAGGATCCCCTCCATGATTTTTCCAGGGACTGAGACTGACTGGTCTGTAATTCCCTGGATTGTCCTCCTCCCCGTATTTAAAGATGGGCACTACACTTGCCTTTTTCCAATCGTCCAGGACCTCCCACGATCACTGTGAGTTTTTCAAAGATAACGGCCAATGGCTCTGCAATGACATATACCAATTCCCTCAGCACTCTTGGATGCATTTAAATCCTGCCCCATTGATTTGTGTATGTCTAAATTTTCTAAATCGTTTTTAGCCTGTTCTTTCTCCACCGAGGGCTACTTCCCTCCTTCCCACACTGTGCAGGGGGTCAGACTAGATGATCATAATGGTCCCTTCTGACCTTAAAGTCTATGAGTGTGGGAGCTGATCTTGTCTGTGAAGATAGTGGCTAAAAAGCATTGAGTACTTCAGCTTTTTCCACATCATCTGTCACTAGGTTACCTCCCTTATCCAGTGAAAGTCCCACACCCTCCCTGATCACCCTTTTACTGCTAACATGCCTGTAGAAACCTTTCTTGTTACCCTTCACGTTTCTTGCTAGCTGCAATTCCAATTGCACTTTGGCCTTCCTGATTACACCCCTGCATGCTCGAGCAATGTATTTATACTTCTCCCCCGTCATCTGTTCAAGTGCCCACTTCTTGTGAGCTTCCTTTTTGTGTTTAAGCTCACCAAGGATTTCACTGCTAAGTGAATCTGGTCGCCTACCATACTTGCTTTTCTTCCTGTGCATCGGGATGGTTTATTCCTGTATCTTCAATAAGGCTCCTTTAAAATACTGCCAGCTCTCTTGGACTCCTTTCCCCTTCATGTTAGCATCCCAGGGGATCCTGCCCATCAGGTCTCTGAGGGAGTCAAAATCTGCTTTTCTGAAGTCCAGGGTGTGTATTTTGTTGCTCTCCTTTCTTCCTTTGGTCAGGATCCTGAACTCGACCATCTTATGTCACTGCTGCCCAGGTTGCCATTCAAATCTACGTCTCCTAGTCATTCTTCCCTGTTTGTTAGCAGCCGGTCAAGCTGTGCATGGCCCCTGGTCGGTTCCTTCAGCACCTGTACAAGGAAGTTGTCCCCAACATTCTCCAAAAACTTCCTGGATTGTCTGTGCACTGCTGTACTGGTCTCCGAACAGATGTCAGGGTGATTACATTTCCCCATGAGAGCCAGGGCCTGTGATCTGGCAGCTTCTGTTAGTTGTCCGAAGAAAGCCTCATCCACCTGATCTGGAGGTCTATAGCAGGTACCAACCGTATCACCTCTGTTGCTCCTGCCTGTAAGCTTAGCCCAAAGACTCTCAACCGGTTTTTCATACTGGATCTCTGAGCAATCATACAGCTCTCTTACCTACAGTACAACTCCTCCTCCTTTTCTCCCTCACCTGTCCTTCCTGAACAGTTTATACCTTTCCATGACCTATTTTAAAGCCCTCCTTGCTAGGTTTGGAAGCCTGCCCATGAAGATGCTCTTCCCTTTCTTCATTAGGTGCATCCCATCTCTTCCTAGCAATCCTTGTGCCTGGAACAGCATCCTATGGTTGAGGAAATCAGACACCACCTGAACAACCACACATTTACTTCTACGATTTGACGATCCCTATCTGGACCTTTTCCTTCATCAGGGAGGATGAACGAGAACACTGCTTACACCTCAAACACCTTGATCCTTCTTCCCAGTGCTACATAATCTGCTTTGACCTGCTCAAAGTCATTCTTGGCAGTATTGTTTGTTCCTACATGGAGAAGTAGAAAGGGGTAGCGATCCAAAGGTTTGATCAGTCTTGTAAGATTCTTATTTGTGTCCTGCATCCAGACACTCACCCTTTCTTTTAAAAATCTTTTATATTGGGCCAAGAAATCACCATAAGATTACACATATGTCCACACGCCCACTTGAGATCTGCAGCGAGGACTCCATATTGCAGTGGAGTATGTGACATACTGTGTTGTCATTAGTGGGTAGTGCATTACAGAAGCAGGAGATAAAACAAGCACTTGTGAAAAATCACTTTTTAAATTGGAAAAATTCGTAGCCAGACTTTCTAAGTACTTCATATTTTAATCTGTTTGCAGATTTACATATGTCCCGTTTATGTGCAGATTATTGAAGTGGTGGTTGTCACATACAGAACCCAGTGAGCTTCATTAGACAGTCTGTCTATTAAGCAGTTACGGGATTTTCAACTTCCCCTCCCGTGCAGGCTCCTACAGGTGAGCGCATGTGTGCTCTGCCGCCTGGCTCCCCCAATGAGGCAGTTGTCTGTCTGTCATGGGATTTTCAACTTGCCGCTCCTGCGCATACACCAACACGGCCACCCCTGCCAGCTCCTGCAGGCGTGCTCTGCCACCTGGTGCAGTGCTGCGCAGCTCCACTCATGGGAAGGTGCTACCGCTGTGGCCGACGCGGCAAGCGTGCTCTGCCGCCGCTTCTTGACGCCTGCCCCCTCCCGCTCCCTGCTGGCCTGACGGCGGGAGCCATCGCGGGTAAGCCTCGGCTCGTGAAGGACAGGAGCTGACTGCATGGCGCTGCAGGTAAGAGCACACTGCAAGCGGACCTCCGTCCTGACAGCTCTTTGTGTTCATTGTCTTCTCTCCCCACCCTGTTTATCAATTGTGCTCATCTGTTGTCTCACTTATATTTGGAATGGTAGGTTTGTTCTGTGTTTCTACAACACCTAGCACCTTGAACACTCTTACACGAATTCCAGTCACACTGAACTTTCCAAAAGCCCTTCCAAAAACATCTTGTAAAAAAGTCTAGCTCGAAGTATATAAGCATATCAAAATGCACCCTGGAGTTTTTATTAGTTGAAAACACTAGATTTAAGACCAAAAAGACAAAAATTAAAAGTAAAAAATTTAAAAAGACAATCTTTCTAAAAGTGCACCAAAAGAATGAAAATAGTTTTCAGCTACCAATTTAGGAGAAAGATTGGATGGCTAAGTACCATTCAAGGTAGTTGCAAACTTGTTAGCCATCTAATCTTTCTCCTAAATTGGTAGCTGAAAACTATTTTCATTCTTTTGGTGCACTTTTAGAAAGATTGTCTTTTTAAAATATTTTTTTAAATGTTTAAAATTTTCTTAGTATAGTTTCCTAATTCTTTTCAAACTCAAGCATTTTTCAGGCAGTCTGACCTGGAGGTCAGATTTCTTTTTGTTTGAGTCTGTGAGGCAGACTTTTATGTATCTCATCACTGGAAATTGGGAGGTTCATTACAGCTCTCACTGTATCTCTTTAGTCAAATCTGTATCTACTGACTAGCCCAGTTCTCTGGGTACGAGGTATAATGGTGTCACTTTGTATTAAGCCACCTGATAGATTTTAAACGAGATTTTTACAGCGTGTCACATGTGGAGATCTGATTAGTGATTTGTTCTGTACTCACTGTTGGGGTTGGCAGGTCTTCATAGTCAATGTGAATCTGTATGCAACATGACTTGAGAAAGCTGGCTAGGAAAGCTCATGAGATTGCTCATTAACCACTGCAGCTGGAGAACTTGGAAAATGAGTACAAATTTCAGCTCCTTCTACTGGTCTTGGTCATGCTGCTGTACTATATACCAATCATATTGAAGCTTTTTCAAGCCTTTCATCCAAATAAATCCTCAAATCCCCAACTTCCACAAATTCACTTAGCGTAGCGTTGAAACATGGTCTCCTCTAAGTTGGAACATGACATCAGTTTAGTGCATAATAACACTGAACGACTCTTCAGGAAACACTTATTCTATTGAAATTTCAGAGGAAATTGAAGGAAGGAAAATTGGAATTTGAGCTGTCTATAGGATACAAGTGGTGCTGTGGATTCATGACGTGTGGTCAAGACATAAGCTTTTATAGTTTGATTTACAAGATTTCGCCTCTTAGAATTTTGCATCCTCTAGTGCTGCACATTAATGCAATACTAATTTAGAGGGAAGAACACTGCAGATTGATTCTCACTTTATGCAGCAGCTAAATTTTCCTTCCTGCTTTTCTAGCCAGACCTTATGAGACTTGACAAAAATCCAGTTGTTTGCTGGAATTTCTTTAATTGTTTCCATTATTTATTTATTTAAAATATTTTTACCCCACCTCTGTATTTAAAAATATTCGAGGTAGCTTCCTGTAGTCTTGTGCATCTGTTCACATAGTTACAAATGTGCATAGGATGTCTAATAGTGGCAGTATTGCTAAGAATTGTTTTCATTCTCCTCTCTCACCCTCCAAATGATGATAGAGTTTGCCATTTTCTGTTTTTCAGCCTTCTAGACGACCAGACTCTTCTGATGACCGTTACATCATGACAAAGCACTCTATCATCTACCCAACAGAAGAAGAGCTGCAGGCCGTCCAGAAGATCGTCTCCCATTCTGAACGTGCCCTTAAGCTCGTCTCTGATTCATTGACAGAGCAAGAATCTGAAAGAGGGGAAGATGAAGAGAGAGGGTAACAAGCTTTCCATAGTCCCTTTCCATAGATAGTTACTGCAGTGTTGGGGCAGACAGGGTGACACTTTTGGAGTTCTGAGGAAGTTGTCATCACAGAATAGCAGAGCCTGTTCAAGGGGATGGGTAAGAAGGCCACATCAGCAAAATAAGTTTTAAAATGGCCAAAAGTAATCCTTCCCTCACTCTTTTTCGCATCTGTATGTGGTTTTCCTAAATAGTAGTAAGGATGGCGATCGCAACATACATTAATGCATGTATCACAAGGGCATTAATTTGTGTATTCTGTTCTGCAACACTGGTTGAAACTAGATACAAAGGGTTACAAAAATGTCCAATTCCTGCAGAAAATGTTCCAGTTGTCTATACCACTTGGCACCAATATTAGTAGAGGCACCAAAAATACTCTCTCCTGAATGCTTAAACATGGAATGGTAGTGAAATCTTTATGCTATTTTAAATACAAATTCTGGAGGGCTCTTTCCTGTAGGTTTAACTGAAAGGTTTCAAAATTACAATCAAATGGCAAATGTGTTGTGAAGTAACTCATAATAGACCTATCACTAAAGTTGCTTCAGTGAATTTGTGCTTCAGCAGAACCAAAATATTTCATGGAGATTTTAGTGCTCTTCTGTTTTAATAAATACAGTGCAGCCATTTACTTTAGTAGCCTTAATTATATTATTTATTGCATTTTAACTTTCTGCTATGTAGCTATTTTTGGGGGTCCCTGTGCAATTTTCCCTTTAATTATCTCCATCTCTTTAATGATTTCCACCTGTTAGTGGAAGGAATTAAAGTTTATGTATGACACACAAATTTTCATATTAGTGCACATAACAAAATTCATGTGTCAGGCTTGGGACTAAGTTCTTGTGAGTGTGGGAGGGGGCTCAGGCCTGGAGCAGAGGATGAGGGTGCAGGAGTGTGGGGGCCATGGCCCGGGGATGTGGGCTCTGGGCTGGGGATGAAGGGTTTGATGTAAAAAAAGGGCGTTGCGAGGAGGAAGTGGGGCAGGATGTGGTCACAGAAGACCCTTGGGATTATTTCCCAGTGTGCTGATCATGCCACTAACACCCAATTTCTTGCTCTCTGGGGTTCCTTACCACTCTGTCCTGATGGGCTATATCCTTTAGTCTCCCCTAGACATGACACAGAGTTGGGGTAACTGCCCCTCTGCAGAGCAATGCAGACACTGAAACACTTCACCTTAGGGAGGATGCAGTTTTAGGGTTCAGCACCCAGGAAACCAGCCCCTGAAAGGAATCAGACCCCTAAATAAACCAGTCTTTCTCTGTGTAAAAGTTTTTTACTCATTGAAAGCTCATCAGGTAAGCCCCCTGTATCCATGAAAGAGAGAGATGCCCAGTGGTTGGTTCCTCCAGGAAGTAATTTTTATACTGGGTCTGATAGTAAATAAGAGTGTTTTTATTTTATTAAGTACAGAGTCATATTTAAGTGGTTGCTGGTGAAAACAGATCAAAGTAAGTAACTAAATTAAAATGCATAGAAAACACATAGCTAGTTCTAATTCACTAAGAAATTTATTACATGCAATTCATACCTTAAATAACTGTTCTTATTTCAGGAATCCACATAAAATCAGAGACAAACTCTTCTTCTTCGAGGAGTGTCCCCGTGAGTGCTCCACCTTAGGTGCGCCAGCGCCGCTGTGCTCACCAGTTGGAGATTGTTAGTAGCAGCACCCGCCCCCTCGCTGGCCACGCGTGCTAGGCTCTACCGTGAGATGCCTGGTGTATGTAATGTGCATGCGCGGCCAGCCGTCTCCTCAGTTCTTCTCTGACTACCCTGGCTTCGGTCGCAGATCTGCAGTCACCCTCACATTCAACCTTCTCCATCCTTTCAGCTACTCAGCTAGCCTTAACTTCAATTAATAACCAACTGAATTGACACGATTCACTTAAAAAAAACCCAAGGATCTCCATCAGGCGGCGTTCCCGCTTTGATAGTGGTTGCCGTTGTTCAAGATATAACTCAGGTCATGCCCGGCTCCTCTGCTTTAAAAAGTGTCTGGGCTGTGGTCTTTCTGTAGCTGTAGCAGATGGACACTCTCTGTGGATCTGCTGTCTGGGACAAGGACCACAATACAGAGCACTGTCAGGACCGCAAGAAACTAAGTGCACAAGGAGAGCCGGCAGCTACAACTCCGTGTGTTGCAGATGGAGACAGCACTGAAACCTCCTTCAGATGCCCCCCTAAACTCTCCCCTCAGGCATAGCCCACCAGGGGCAGAGGCAGGTAAGAGGGCTATTGCAGGTAAAAGACCGAGCACCAAACTGAAAACTCCCTCAGTGAGGAAGAGGTCTCATTCTTCCTCTGGGTCTACATCCCTGGTGAGGAAAGTGACAAATTCAAGACTTGACACTGCTGCCCCTACACCATCAAGGGGGAGCAGTTAAGAGTTCAGGTTCTGGCTCCCATAAAAGCTGTGACCACAAACAGGGATATCGTCCCTCCTCACACAGCCGCACAGCAGGGGCCGATGCATAAAGCTGTCGCTCCGGCACCGGCTAAAATACTGGCAGAAAAAAAGCGGGCGCCAACAACCCTGCGATCGGAGGCAGCAGCAGCAGCAGCACGCCCACTGAGCAGCCAGCACTGACCGAGTGCTCGAAAGCGCCCAGTACGTTCCCGGTGCCAGCACCGACCCCCCCCACAGCGCTATACTGCCAGTGGGCCCACCTGTTGTGTTTCCGCAGTTCACCACAGTGGCGGAGTTCTCTATAGCCTCGGTGCCCCAGGCACCCAAGCTAGTTCTAAGTCCTCATTTTCCGCTACTCATGGAGCTTTATCACCATGCTTCAATGACTCTGAGGAGGAAGACTTACCTCAACCTATTCTGTGTAAGAATTCCTTACCGAAACCAGTACACCCCCAACAGTTGCAGCAGCGCTGGGGACTGCCATTCATGCCCCTAAGTTGGCCATATTGGGACCCATGGGCTACATTCAGACAACAGCCTGTTCCCCAAGCAGAGCATCTTTATCATATATCTGCCAAACCTAAACCCCCTAGCTTACACTTGCTGAACAGGTCTGAATTCTCTGAATGCGAAGACGACACGGAGACCACAGGGGTGGAACAGCCCTCACACTGCCCCTTACCTCTACACTCTTCTCCATCCTCGTTGGCAGAGACATTTACATCCCCATTAATAACGGGTGCAGAGGATGATTTTAAGTCCTTTCAGGACCTTTTTAAGTGGGTAATTGACAAACTGGAAATGTCCCTCTCCAGTCCTCTGGATACACAGCATAAGTTACACAGCATAAGTTAACTAGCATCCTTCATGCCTCAGTGCAAACCAGACTCTCAATACCTATGAATGAGGCATTGATGGACCCAGCTAAGCTTCTATGGAAAATGCCAGCGACAATCCCACCAACATTGAAGAGACTTGATCAAAAATATTATGTCACCACACAGGGTGTGGAATTTTTCACCCACCACCCTCCAAACTCACTCATAGTAGAAGCTGGAAAAAGGGGTAAGCCGGCCAACCCCTTATGACAGAGAATGGAAGAGGCTCGATGCCATGGGCAAGAGAGCATACACCTCTGCCAGCCTCCAACTACACATCACCATCTATGTAGTGCTTCTTTCCAAATATACACATCGTATCTTTGATCAGTTGTCGACTTTTATTGAAATCCTACCAGACAACAAAAGAGAACAATACAAACCTTTGATGAAGGAGGGCTCTCTAATCTCTAGAACTGCACTTCAGTCTGCCCTCGATGTTCATTAAGTCAGGGTGGATCTGTCTCATTCGCAGCATTAGGGGATTCCAGCTGACCCCGGGCTCCATGCAGCGCTGCCTTTTTGAAGCGCTGGGGTGGCGTTTCCAGGAGGCAGCGCAAAGCATTCTGCGCGGCATTTCAGTGGAACCCCGGGTCAGCTGGGGAGTCCCCAGCTGACCCTGGGTTCCATGTGGCACTTCCTTGTAACCTAGGGTCAACTCCGGCTCCACTGCCCCTTTGAAACATGCAGAGGCAGTGTTCCAAAGGGGCAGCCGCTGCACAGCTGGTCCTAGGCTCAGCTGTGAGGCGGCTGCTCCTTTGAAATGCCGCCTCCATGTGTTTCAAAGGGGCAATGGAGCCCAGGGTCAGCTATGGACTCCCCAGTTGGTCCTGGGCTCTGCATTGTGCTGCCCCTTTGAAGCACTGGAGCGACACTTCAAAGGGGCAGTGCAGCATTAACACCTGCAATTAATGTGTTAAAAAAAATTAATGCGTTAATCCTGCCCTGCTTTAATCTCAAGCATTAAAGCATGTCAATTGACAGCCTTACTTACTACATCTTCACAACTCGGGTCTATCCCTCAGTTCTGTCAGGGTCTACCTTGCAGCCATATCCGCGTTTCACTCACCTATACAGGATCACTCGGTTTTCGCTCATCCATCAGTCAAGAGATTTATGCAAGGTCTGCGCAATACTTTCCTACCAACTAAAGAACCAGTCCCCGCACGGGACCTTAACCTAGTACTAAGGGTACTAATGGGCAAACTGTTCGACTCACTAGCAACATGTTCCTTCCTCCAGCTATCCATGAAGGTGGCCTTTTTAATGGCAATTACCTCTGCATGAAGAGTGGTAGAGTTGGGCGCACTTATGACCCACCTGCCCTATACAGTCTTCCACAAGGACAAGGTGGAAGGACAAGGACAATTCCTTCCCAAAGTACTTACCTCTTTCCATTGTAATGAACCAGTTACTTACCTGTCTTTTTTCCTAAACCTCATAGTGATGACAGGGAAAGGGATCTGCACACCCTCGATGTCCGCAGAGACTGTATAAGGATGGTTTATGCCATATTCAACAAACAGCCTCCTTCGACATTATGTGCCCACTCCACGAGGGCAATGGCCACTTCCGCTGCCTTCCTCTGCGGTATCCCCACTGATGAGATCTGTAGGGCAGCCACATGGGCTTCCGCTCACACTTTCACTCATCACTATGCCATCCAATCATATGCAGACACTCTCACTCGATTCGGCTGCTCAGTACTTTCAGTAGCCAAAACAGGCCTTCCGAAGGCCCCACCTCCAAGCACTGATACTGCTCTTTAGTCACCTAAGGTGGAGCACCCAAGGGGACACTCCTTGAAGAAGAAAGGGAGGTTACTCACCTTGTGCAGTAACTGGAGTTCTTTGAGATTGTTGTCCCTGTGGGTGCTCTACCCTCCTCCCCTCTGCTTTGGATTCTGCTTGGGTCCGGATCAGAGAAGAACCGAGGAGCCGGCTGGCTGTACATGCACATTACATACACCAGGCATCTCGCGCCAGAGCCTAGCGCGTGCGGCTAGCCAGGGGGGCACTGCTACTAACAATCTCCCGACTGGTGGATGCGACGGTGCTGGCGCACCTAAGGTGGAGCACCCATGGGGACAACCATCTCGAAGAACTCCAGTTACTGCACAAGGTGAGTAATCTTCCCTTAGTTTGATTTGGGTCTCCAGCACTTCAAAGTTCTTTGTTTCCTCTTAGAGTGGAGGAGGCAGTTTCAAAACCTAGCTGAAGACAAAAGGGGATTGTTTCCCATTGCTTAAATAGATTTTTCCCCAGGGTGGGAATCCTTTCTTTTACATCCCCCACTTCCATGGAAAAATACCAGGTTCGGAATGAATGAGGAGTCCTGTGGCACCTTAGAAACTAAGGGTATGTCTACACTACCACCCTAGTTCGAACTAGGGTGGTAATGTAGGCAACTGGAGTTGCAAATGAAGCCCGGGATTTGAATTTCCTGGGCTTCATTTGCATAAAGCCGGGCGCCGCCATTTTTAAATGGCCGCTAGTGCGGACTCCATGCCACGCGGCTACATGCGGCACGGACTAGGTAGTTCGGACTAGGCTTCCTGAAATGAGGAGTAACGGTAGTTCGGAATAGGAAGCCTATTCCGAACTACCTAGTCCGTGCCGCGTGTAGCCGCGCGGCACGGAGTCCGCACTAGCGGACATTTAAAAATGGCGGCGCCCGGCTTTATGCAAATGAAGCCTGGGAAATTCAAATCCCGGGCTTCATTTGCAACTCCGGTTGCCTACATTACCACCACCCTAGTTCGAACTAGGGTGGTAGTGTAGACATACCCTAACAGATTTATTAGGGCATTAGTTTTCATGGGCAAAACCCACTTCAGTAGCAGGTGGTGTGGTGACATGTTTTTCTAGACCAATCACTTACAGGACAAGTAAGGCTACATACAAGTCATTGAGTTGATCACTGAGCCATTAGGCTTCCAGGACACCATTATTGGTTCTCATTAGCACATTTACAATTATAAACAGACTCACACTTCATATTTCCAACGTCATATACAAGACTGATTCATACACAGAAACAGTATATACAGGTCCAGCTGTAACGCTGATACTCGGCCTGTTTTGCATAAAGCATCTTGGAGTTATGCATATTCATATTCACAAGCCAGTTTTCATAAGGCATGGAGTGGGGAGGCATCACAGAGAGAACTCCCCCATCTCTCTCTCCTCGCAGCAGCACCTGGGCTGGGAGTGAAAGGCATCTCTCCCCACCATGGCAATGCTGGGACTGCCCCTCCTCTGGCCCTGGCAGGTTCCAGCCAGGGCTGGAGAGCTTGGCCACGGAGGGGGGTGGCGCTAGGTTCAGGCCATCCCTCCCTAGCCAAGGCAGGCTGATGGCCATAACAGGTTGGGGGACGGGCAGCTCTCTTCCCTGCCATGTGCAGGTGCCTGGTGCATCTGTGTGGCACTAACTGTGCAGCTGCACAGCTTACAGGGAACTTAATCCCTCTGGTAGATTTTAAGACTCAGATTCCATGTAAATAGCTCTGTTTGATGTCTTCACATGGCTTCTCTCCACAACAGGAAGGCAGAAGCTGCTCCCCGAATTCTGAAAGGTGTAATGCGAGTTGGCATTCTGGCAAAAGGGCTTCTGCTCCAAGGAGATAGGAATGTTCATCTTATCCTACTCTCTGCCCAGAAACCTACACACAAGCTTTTAAAAAATATCACAGAGCAGCTGCCCAAGCAACTTTCGGTAAGAATGGATCTTCCTTCTTTGATTTCTAGTGACTGTTTCTTCTTTACTAGATGTCAGGTAAAGTATACCCAGAGCACAGAGTAATCCAGTACTGCTTATTGAAGATGAAGAATATGCCAGGTGATGTACAAAACAAAATGGAAAATACTGTTCCTACCTTCATCAATAGGCATTGCAAAAGGGAATGTGTGCTGGACATTTTCTGCATTCCATCTCAAAATGTTAATTTCCATTATAGTAATAGGTAGCATAATGGCTTGTTGCACTGGTTTTTTTTTCTCTCTTTGCCCACATGAAATGAATTTTGGGTGACTTAGTTCAGTCCTTACAGGCTCTTGTTGACATCACAAAGCTAGTACCATTCGACATAATTTTCATGCTCAGGAAAGTTTTAATACTATAATGACAGAGTTCTGCATAGTAAAAAATATGAGGGATATCAGTGTAAGTCTGTAACTAAAAATGAAGAGTCCTGTTGAACCTTAGATACTTAACAGTTTAGTAGGTCATGATGATCTTTCACTAGTAAAACACACTTCATCAGATGAGTTGGAATGGAAATTGCAGAATCTGGGGTATATATATCAGCAAAAAAAGTTTCCAGACAATTGTAGGACCAGTGTTAATTAGGCTAATTAAGTCAGGGTGGATCTGTTTCATTCGCAACATTTCATATGAATATCAAAAGAGGGAAAATTGCCTTTTTAGTGTGTTAACCAATTGAGATCTTTATTCAAGCCTAAGTTGATAGTGTTGAATTTGTAGATGAAGTCCAATTCTTCTCTTCCTCTGTAATTGTGTGATACATTTGTTTTGTAGAAGGATGGCTACTTTTAAATCCATTACTGAATGTCCAGGGAGGTTAAAATGTTCCCATACAAGTTTATGTGTATTAGTATTCCTGAGGTCTGATTTATGTCTATTTATCCTTCAGTGCAGTTGGCAACAGAGTTTGTTGCAGGGCTGGGTTTCTAAGTGAGTGTATCAGAGGTGTGATGTGATGTGTTACTACTGGTAAGTATTTGCTTCAGGTTGGGCGGCTTATCTATAGGCAAGGTGTGGCCTGTCTCCCAACGTCTGTGAGAGTGAGGGATCATTGTAGATTGTCAATGATGCACTGTAGGGGTTTAAACTGAGGGCTGTAGGTGATCACCAGTAGTGTTCTGTTATTTTCCTTGTTGGGCCTGTCTTGAAGTAGGTGACTTCAGGGTACTCATCTGGCTCTGTCAGTCTGTTTCCACACTTCCCCAGATGGATTAAGAACTCTTGATAAAAATATTGTAGGTTTTTGTCTGTGGGATTAGAGCAGATCCGGTTGTATCTTAGGGCATGGCTGTAAACAATTGTTTGTGTCATGTGTCCTAGATGGAAGCTAGAAGCATGAAGGTAAGAACAGCGGTCAGTAGGCTTCTGGTATAGGGTGGTGAGCAGTGTTCCCTCAACATTTTCTATTCTTGGGCGGGTTGAAATTTCTTATGTGCACTACCAATATTGAGGTGTGTGTGTGGATGTGCACCACCAATGCAAACAAAACACACATACACATTTTAAGCAGTCAGTATGTGCGGAAGAAAATATATTAAAACAAGGGATATTTAACAAGGAGCAATGCTTACGATATTTAATATGAAATCAAATAAAAAAGAAAATGTATACTACCCTTGGAGTACATGCATCATCAGCCTTTCTAACAGCTCAAGCTAGTACTTGCTACTTCTGACTCAGAAGAGCCAAAACTCTACCACATAGCAAAGATCTGGCCTTAATGCAATACAATATACCATGATTTAATTAGTAACACCGGATTTTTAAAAATTAAGATCAGAGTTTTAGATATCTGCAACACTCCAAAAAAATTCTGTTAAAAGAATCTCTTTCTTTCTTACCTTAAGACATTAACACCTATGTAAACTTTGTTTCAAATGTAATCATGCAAATATCCTGTCACACACCCCCACTCCATGCAGCCTGCTTCTCCCCCTCCAACACAACCAGACAGAGCATTTGCAGCAAGTCAGAAACTCCTGGGGAGATAAGGGGCTGACTGCCCCCTGCTTCCACCTCACTGCACAGATGCCAGCACCCAGCCACCCACCCTTCCTTTCCCCCAAGCAGTCAGCCCCTTATCTCCCCAGGCAGTCAGCCCCTTATCTCCTCTTTCCTAGGAGGCTTGAGAGTGCTGAGTTTCTGCCCCTCTCTCTCTCTCTTTCTCCTCATGCAGATGGGGCTTTTCAACTGATCTGACTTCCCCCTCAACCAATTACTTATTTACTTCCTCCCTCCCTTCCTCCAGCTACTTATTCCCTGCTTATCTCCCTTTTTACCTGCTCTGGGAGCTGGTCAATTTCAAGCACGGACCAGCCCCATGTAGATGTTTGCTCAGCAAGAGGACACCCCTCCTCCCGCCAGTCAGCTGAACTCTCTGCCTGCCTGGGAGCTTTTAATTTCTGAGTGGAACTCAGAAAACTGCTGTATGACCACGCAGATGCGCTACTTACAGAGAACTTAAGTGGTGACCTTCATTTATTTATACTGTAGTGTCCAGGAAGTGGGTCTCTTGTGTGGACTGGTCACAGCTGAGGTTGATAGTGGGTGGAAATTGTTGAAATCCCTGTGGAATTCTTCAAGGGTCTCCTTCCTGTGAGCCTGTATGATGAAAATGTCATGAATGTAGCGTAAACAAAGGAGGGATGCTATGGGACAGGAGCTGAGGAAATATTGTTCTAGGCTAGCCATAAAAATGTTGCATATTGTGAGACCATGTGGGTATCAATAACAGTGCTGCTGACTTGAAGGTATAAGTTGTCCCCAAATCAGAACTGGTTGTGGATGAGGAGAAAGTCACATAGCTCAGTCACCAGGTGTGTTGTGGCATCATCAGGGATACTACTCCTGATAGCTTGTAATGCAGCCTTGTGTAGAATATTGGTGTAAAGAGCTTTTACATCCAGGGTGACCAGGACAGTATTTTCAGGAAGATTCCTGATACACTGTCGTTTCACCAGGAAGTCAGTAATGTCTCAAAGATAGCTAGGAGTGCTGGTAACATAGGTTCTGAGGAGAGAGTCAACATAGCCAGATAACCCTGCTGTAAGGGTGTCATTGCCTAAGATGATGAGACATCCGGGATTTCCAGGTTTATGGATCTTGGGTAACATATAGAGTGCTCCTGGTTAGGGCTCTGGGGGTGTATTTGTATAGATTTGGTCCCAAGCTGTCGCAGGGAGTTTCTTGAGCAGATGGTGTAGTTTATTTTTTTATTCCTCAGTGAGATCAGAGGAAAGAGACCTGTGGAATGTGGTGTGGGTGCGTTGCCTGGCCATCTCTGTTCATACTCTGACCTATTCATGGTGCCCTCTTTGATTAGAATGTCAGAGTTGTTTTTAAGGCTGTGGATAGCATTGTGTTCTGAACGGTTGAGGTTATGTCGTATGTGATGATGTTTGTGCACATTCGTGGAATCGGTCATCGTAGAGGTCCAGACCGTCCTTCGGCAGTCAGGAAGAGTCCAGGTAGAATTCTTATTGTAATGTTGGTAGAAAGGATCCTCTGGGTCATTGCAATGTTCAATGGCACGTTGAAAATATTCCTTGAGTCAAAGAGGGCAAAAATAAGCTTCCAGGTCACCACAGAATTGTATCTTGTGTTTGGGGGTGGTGAGGCAGAGCGAAGGGCTGCATGTCAAGTTTGAGGTGCACTGGTAGGGCTCTAAAAAAAAGTGGTCAATAAGGGCATACAAAAAAGTTGATATGCTGCCTATTAATCTACACATACAGAATGGGAAGTGATTGTCCAGGAAGGAGCTGCTGAAACGGATTCAGCAGGGGTCATAGTGGACCACAAATTAAACATGAGTCAACAGAGTGAAACTGTTGGGGGGGGGGAAAGCAAACATGATTCTGGGCTGCATTAACAGGAGTGTTGTGAGCAAGACACGGGAAGTCATTCTTCCGCTCTACTATGTGCTGACTAGGCCTCAGTCGGAGTATTGTGTCAAGAAGGATGTGGAGAAATTGGAAAAGGTCCAGCGAAGAGCAACAAACATGATTAAAGGTCTAGAAAACATGACCTATGAGGGAAGACTGAAAGAGTTGGACTTTAGTTTAGAAAAGAGAAGATTGAGAGGGGACATGATAGTAGTTTTTATGTATCTAAAAGGGTGTCACAAGGAGGAGGGAGAAAAATTGTTCTCCTTGGCCTCTGAGGCTAGGTCAAGAAGCAATGGGCTTAAACTGCAGCAAAGGAGGTTTAGGGTGGACATCAGGAAAAACTTTCTGTCAGGGTGGTTAAACACTGGAATAAATTGCCTACTGGTGTTGTGGAATGTCCATCACTCCAGATATTTAAGAGCAGGTTAGGCAGACACCTGTCAGGCATGATCTAGATAGTGCTTGGTCCTGCCATGAGGGCAGGGAAATGGACTTGATGACCTCTTGAAGTCCCTTCCAGTAGTATGATTCTATGATATTTGCAGTGTTATAGATAGTGTACTGATCACAGGATATGAGAGAGAAAAGGTAGGTGAGAGGCTTTTTTCAATTGGACCAACTTCTGTTGGTGAAAAGGTCTGTATTTCAAGCCATACCCTGCTCTTTCTCAGATCTGGAGAAGATAGTGTGTGTGAACTAAATACAAGGTGGAACAGATTGCTAAGCTAACAGCATTTACATATGTGGTAGGAGACCACTGATAAGGAAGTTGGCCATTAAAGGTTAGCAGCAAATTGTTATAATAAGCTATAAAACCAGTGCCTGTTAATTTCATGATTTTTAGTATCCAGCAGAGCTGTGAATTTTAGCTCCCAGGCTTACCTGTTGAAAGAGTTATGTGGGATTCTTTTGAGTAGAAAGAGATAGTTGTTAGGGCAGTTGATACACTGGATGAGGTACACCAGACGTTGTGACAGGCATCTGTAGGATCCACTGATCTTGAAATATATATTGAAGGTGATACTGATCATTGTGTCAGTGGAGATATGTCCACATATTTTGCACATGTTTTGGCAGGGTCTGGTGCTGTTTTGAGTTTGTGTGTCCTGGTCTGATCAGAGTTTGCTTCTGCTGATGAGCTCAGTGAGCTTGGGTGGTTGTTTGAAAGCCAGAAGAGGGAGTTTGGAAAAGATTTGGCTCATGATATAGATGTCTCTGTGTCTGATCTCTCAGTACTCATCCTCAAAGGAAACTTGTAGAATACTTTCAAAAGAAAAGCCTAGGAATTTAAATTCATAATTCTGCTGGACACATTCAGTTATATACTTGAGCCACTGTAATGGTTGTGCTTACCACATTGGTGTCTTCTGCTGGTTGTCTTGGAAATTAGTTGTGTAGTTGAGTGTGCCATCTGTAGGTGGCGTTTTGCCTGTACCTGTGACGACTACTGTACCTGTCTCAGCTCAAGGACTGCGGCATCCTCTTTAGGACACAGTCCTCTGGCTGTGGCCCACTCCATCCTCTCTCTTTCAAGGGGAACCAGCTATCTCTAATCTAGTCCAACCTTAGTGACAAGTTGCAGTCCATGCTCCAGTCACTCCTCTCAATGGCAAGTGAGGGCAAAAGGAGGGGAGACCAAGGCTTGCCCGCTACTCAGCTAGTTCTCCTCCCTTGCTCTCCTGGGAGTGATTCCCCTCTGCTCTACTGAGCAGCCCTTCTTGTATGGTCCTCGCTCACCCTGATTAGCTGCCCTAACAAACTTTCTCCCTATTGGCTGGCTCTACAAGCCCTCTTCTTATTGGTTGGGGTTCTGCGCACCTTCTATGAGGGCTTCTTTGACCCCTTTTCCTTCCTGTGTGAGGCAGCTGCCCCACCACAACACATAAATTGTCAGATTAAACCATAAAACCAGTAGCACGTCCTACTGCCCGCTAACCTCTAATTGCCCACTTCATTTAAAGTAGTGTCCTATGACATGTGTGAGCCCCTTCAACGTAACTATCACACCTTGGCTACGTCTAGACCACATCCCTTTTTCATAAAAGGGATGTAAATTAGACGTATCGCAATTGCTAAAGAAGCGGGGATTTAAATCTCCCCCGCTTCATTAGCATAAAAATGGCTGCCACTTTTTTCTGCACGGAGCTTTGCCGGAAAAAAGCACCAGTCTAGGCGTTGATCTTGAAATAAGGGATAAGGGATCTTTTGGAAAAGGCTTTATTTTCCGCAAGATCAGCGTCTAGACGTAGCCCTTGTGTTTAACTCAGACACTGTTTACTTTCTCCAGACTAAGAGCTCTGTGTAGCTGGAATGTTTTATCCCTTCCACCAACAGGAGTTGGGCCACTAAAAGATCTTTCCTACTAATGTAATTGTAACTGCGCTATGTCATTCCTACCTTTTAAACTGTATTAACTAATTGAACTAAAAATTCACCAAATAACTTTTTAATAGTGGAGTGTGGGGATAAAGCTGGCACATGAACTTGAAGGTGAAACAAGTTGGGTTTTGTTTTTAACTTGCTAGATGTTAACTGAAGAGGAGTATGAAGTTTCGTCTAATTCTGGGGAAGCGAGTATACTCATCTGTTCGTGCAAGGAACCAAAAATGCAGGTCACAATTTTAGTAACATCTCCTCTTATGAGAGAGGATGCTTCTGCTGACAAGGGTGAGTAAATATTGATGGTCTAAAATGATTTTGTATGTAAAAGGTTTTATGTACTAAGTTCATAATTTAAAAATGAAATAACTATGATAGAGCAGACATTTTGATACCATCTGCTAATTCCAAAGTGACAGAATCAGAAGGCTGAAATCCTCCTAAAACTTGCTTTTTCCCTTTGCCTTTCTGAATGGGGAGACAGGAGGTGGATCGAGTTAGCTGTGTTAGAGATTTAATTCTGTAAATCTACAGACTTAACTGCTGTAATCTGCTAATACAGATTTTGTGCTACTCTCAATGCTTTCTGAAAGAGTTCTCATTTGGAAAAAAAGGACAATGTAGCACTTTAAAGACTAACAAGATGGTTTATTAGATGATGAGCTTTCGTGGGCCAGACCCACTTCCTCAGATCAAATAGTGGAAGAAAATAGTCACAACCATATATACCAAAAGATACAATTTAAAAAAATGAACACATATGAAAAGGACAAATCACATTGCAGAACAGAAGGAGGATGCGGGGGGGTGATTTCCAAATAATTTCCTACTGTAGATATGCCCTACGGTGCCAAGAGGACTACTCCTTGTTTTTAAAGTTACAGACTAACACAGCGACCCGTCTGAAATGTTCAAACATGTATAGTTAGTAATTCAATGTCTACCTAATGCTCCCGACCAGGGCTTTTCCACCTGAAATGAAAAGAGATTTTTACAGCCATCTTCTGCTCAAACAAATCATTAATTTAAACATAGTTTAAATATTCTCAGGACAGAATAATTGATCCCGGAGGTATTAACAGTCTGGCCTAAAGACAGTGCTAATGTGTGAATGGGTATAAATTAAAACTCTCTTAAACTCGGTTACAGCTTGGTCCAATGTCCATTGAAATCAAAGGGAGTCTTTTCATTGGCTTTGCCTCAGGCCCCTCGACTCCCTTACATGAGACCTACATGGACCCAGCCCATCAGTGTGTAAAGGTGGGTCTGGCCCACGAAAGCTCATCATCTAATAAACCATCTTGTTAGTCTTTAAAGTGCTACATTGTCCTGCATTTTGCTTCAGCTACCCCAGACTAACACGGCTACATTTCTATCATTTGAAAAAGTCTGCTTGCTTTTCATTGAGGAGACCATGATTTCTAATCACAGTGCAGTAAGGCTTCAGTCAGTGGATATGATTTAGAAAACTGAGTGCTAGTTTGATAGCTATTATTAACAAAAAATCATACTTGTCTTCTGGTTTTTCACAGCAACTCTTGGTCACAAAAGCTTGGTAAGTAAGTTGTGCAAAGAGACATTCATGTATTTCTTTCCTCTTAGAAGCAGCAGCAGAATCTCAGCATGAACCCTGTGATATTTTGAGTCAAGAGAAATGCTTAGAATCATTGGCCGCCCTTCGTCATGCTAAATGGTTTCAGGTAAAGAGCTTTCCCAAGCACTGAGATGTATTGTGCAGTTTCCCATTGACTTGCTAATCCAGTAGAAGGAAGGACTCAGTGGGAAGAAAGACACAGTCTCGTGCTGCAGAACTGACCAGGTTTAATCAAAGTGTAACTGATGCTATTAGAGGCATCTTCTGTATAATGACCAAAAATCCTTGTGTGCACATTCCAACTCCAGCAGTACACTGACAATCCAAGAAGTTTTTGGAAAATGTTGGGGACAACTTCCTGGTACAAGTGCTGAAGGAACCGACCAGGGTCTATGCTCAGCTTGACCTACTGCTCACAAACAGGGAGGAATCACTAGGGAAAGTAGATATGGGTGACGACCTGGGCAGCAGTGATGATGAGATGGTTGAGTTCAAAATCCAGACCAAAGGAAGAAAGGGGAGCAACAAAATACACACCCTGGACTTCAGAAAAACAGACTTTGACTCCCTCAGGGAACTGGAGGACAAGATCCCCTGGGAAGCTAACATGAGTGGAAGGGAAATGAGGAGAGCTGGCTGTATGTTGAAGACTTATTGAAGGCTCAGGAACAAACCATCCCGATGTGCAGTAAGAAGAGCAAGGGCAACCAGCCTGGCTTAACAGTGAAATCTTTGGTGAACTTAAATGCAAAAAGGAAGCTTACAAGAAGTGGAAACTTGGACAGATGACTAGAGAAGAATTTCAGTATATTGCTCCAGCATGCAGGGGTGTAATCAGGAAGGCCAAAGGGCAATTGGAATTGCAGTTAGCAAGGGATGTGAAAGGTAACAAGAAAGGTCTCTACAGACATGTTAGCAATAAGTACGTGATCAGGCACGGTTTGGGACCCTTACTGAATGGGGGAAGTAACCTAGTGACAGATGATGTGGGAAAAGCTGAAGTACCCAAGGTTTTTTTGCCTCTGTCTTCACGAACAAGGTCAGCTCCCAGACTTCTGCACTGGACAGCACAGTATGGGGCGGAGCTGGGCAGCCGTAGTAGAAAAAGAATGGGTTAAGAACTATTTAGAAAAGCTGGACATACACAAATCCATGGGGCTGGATTTATTGCATCCAAGGATGCTGTGGGAGTTGGCTGATGTGATTGCAGAGCCATTACTCAATATCTTTGAAAACGAGTGGCAATCAGGAGAAGTCCCAGATGATTAGAAAAAGGCAAATATAGTGCCCATCTTTTAAAAAGGGAAGGAAGCAAATCCGGGGAACTACAGCCTCTCCTCTGTCCCCAGAAAAATCATGGAGGGGATCCTCAAAGAAACTGCTTTAAAGCACTTGGAAGAGAGGAAACTGACCAGAAACAGGCAACATGGATTCACCAAGGGCAAGTCTCGCCTGACCAACCTGATTGAGTAGTCAATAGGCAGCCCAGCTCAGTCCTGGCTCGCGCCTGGTGTGGGACCAAACCCTGCTACAGCTCTGCAATTTAAGAGGCAGTAGGAGCTGGCTCCTACTGCATTTTAAATTGCAGAGCTGCAGCAAAGTTTGGTCCTGCTCCAGCGTGAGTGGGGATTGAGCTGAGTTGCCTGCCCAGCTGGCAGAGCTCCTGTGCGTGGGGGTCTCAGTGGGAAGGTGGGACCTCCCGCACACAGGGGCTGCTTCATGGCAGCAGCCCCTGCTCCCCCGCTCCCCCCGCTGCTTCTACTAGAGGCCGCAGTCAGGGGGTGGGTACGGGCGGCACGGTGGAGCCAGCTTAAAACCCAGTTACCTCCAGCTCCTGCTCTCCCCCCACACACACAGGCAATGACGGGGGCAGAATGTGAGCAATCAACTTGATTACCCAATAAGCATAGGCTTATCAGGTAGTCGACTAGTCAACTATTCCCTTACATCGCTAGTGTATATGGGGAAGATGGTGGACATGTTATACCTGGACTTTAGCAAAGCTTTTGATATGGTCTCCCATATTTTTCTTGCCAGCATGTTAAAGAAGTATGGATTGGATAAATGGATACTATAACATGGATAGAAAGTTGACTAGATTGTCAGGCCCAATAGATAGTGATCAACAGCTTGGTGTCTGATTGGCAGTCGGTATCAAGCAGAGTCCGCTCAGGGTCAATTCTGGGGCTGATTTTGTTTAGTATTGTTATTAATGACTTGGATAAGGGGATGGATTGCACCTTCAGCAAGTTCATGGACAACATTAATCTAGGGGGAGAGGTAGATATGTTGGAAGATAGGGATAGAGTCCAGAATGACTTAGACAAATTGGAGGATTGGGCCAAAAGAAATCTGATGAGGTTCAACAAGAACAAGTTCAGAGTCCTGCACTTGGGACACAAGAATCCCAAGCATTGTTACAGGCTGGGGACTGATAGGCTAAGCAACAGTTCTGCAGAAAAGGACCTGGGGATTCCAGTGGATGAGAAGATGGATATGAGCCAACAGTGTGCCCTTGTAATCTAACAATATATTGGGCTGTATTAGGAGGAGCATTGCCAGCAGATCTAGATAATTGATTATTCCCCTGTATTTGGCACTGGTGAGGCCACATCTGGAATATTGCATCCAGTTCTGGGCCCCTGTTAAAAGAAAGGATGCATTGGAGAGAGTCCAGCAGAGAGCAACAAAAACGATTAGGGGCTGGAGCACATGACTTACGAGAGGCTGAGGGATTTGGGCTTATTTAGTCTATAGAAGAGTAGGCTAGGTAGAAACCTTCAGCTACTTGAAGGGGGGTTCCAAAGATGATGGAGAGAGGCTATTCTCAGTGGTAACAAATGACAGAATGAGGAGTAGTGGTCTCAAGTTGCAGTGGGGAAGGTCTAGATTGACTATTAGGAGAAACTATTCTAGTGGGAGGGTATTGAAGCACTGAAATGAGTTACCGAGAGAGCTGGTGGAATCTCCATCCCTAGAGGTTTTGATGTGGGAGGGTAGAAGGGATGGGGCCTGCCAATACAGGGTAGTGGCCAGGGCTATAGCCTCCCCCAAAGGCACGTTCACCAGCTGCCCATGTTAAATACAGTGGTGGATTTTGTACACATTACCTAAACAACTAAAGAGATGGTGGGTGAGATAATTATATTTTAGTGTACCACTTCTGTTGATGATGAGAGAGACAAGCTTGTAAGCTGACACAGAGGTCTTCTCCAGATCTGGGAAAGGTAAAATGAGAGATGGAACTGATTGGTTTCCTACAACATATTAACTCATTGTGCTAACTTTCCACTGCATGTTGAATGTTTAACACCTTTGCATTCAAAGGACAAAGGAAGGTCAATGAAGCTTAAATGACCATCAATTTTACTTAAATGTTTAGGGCTCTAAAGTGAGTTATTAAGCCAGGTGGTGATGGTGATATATAAAAGGATCCTGTCAGACCCGTTTACTTACAGGAGTTGACATCTACAACCTTCTTTAGTCTACTAGCATAACCATAAAATATTTTGCTTTGAACAGGTTTTATTTTCACCAAAAGCTTATTAAAATATCAATAGGATCGTCCATACTCTAGAAATGTTCCTTTTAAAGTTATTGTGCTGTGGAGAGGAGGAATTCATAGAATCAAGAGACCTTAGGACATCATCAAATCCAACCCCCTGCCCAAAGCAGGACTCAGTCATCTCAGCCCGGGCTTTATCAAGCCAGGACATCAAAACCTCTAGGGATGGAGATTCCACCACCTCCCTAGGCAGAGTCATAGAATCATAGAGCTGGAAGAGACCTCAGGAGGTATCAAGTCCAGCCCCCTGCCCAAGGCAGGACCAATCCCAACTGAATCAACCCAGCCAGGGCTTGTCAAGCCGAGACTTAAAAACCTCTAGGGATGGAGAGTCCACCACCTCCCTAGGAAACCCATTCCAGTGCTTCACCACCTTCCTACTGAAATAGTTTTTCCTAATATCCAACCTAGACCTCCCCCACTGTAACTTGAGACCATTGTTCCTTGTTCTGTCATCTGTCGCTACTGTGAACAGCCTTTCTCCAGCCTCTTTGGAACCTCCCTTCAGGAAGCTGAAGGCTGCTATCAAATCCCCCCTCACTCTTCTCTTCTGCAGACTAAACAAACCCAAATCCCTCAGTCTCTCCTCATAGGTCATGCACTCTAGCCACCTAATCATTTTGGTCACCCCCTGTTGGACCCTGGAATACATATCAAACACAGGGCACTGCATTTGTTTACAAATTTAACTGCTGCAATATTGGCTGGGGGGGGTTGGTTGGGAATAATAACTTTTCTGGATCTGCTGGCAATGCTCCTCCTAATGCACCCTAATATGCCATTAGCCTTCTTGGCTATAAGGACACACTGTTGACTCCTATCCAGCTTCTCATCCACTGTAATCCCCAGCTCCTTTTCTGTAGAACTGCTACCTAGCCAGTTGATCCCCAGCCTGTAACAGTTCTTGGGATTCTTCCGTCCCAAGTATAGGACTCTACACTCGTCCTTGTTGAACCTCATCAGATTTCTTGTGGTCCAGTCCTCTAATCTCTCTAGGTCACTCTGGACCCTATTCCTGTCTTCCAGCGTATCTACCTCTCCCCCTAGTTTAGTGTCATCTGCGAACTTGCTGAGGGTTCAATTCATCCCCTCATCCAAGTCTGTAATAAAGATGTTGAACAAAACTGTCCCCAGTAACAATCCTTGGGACTCTCTGCTTGATACCAACCACCAGCCAGACATCGAGATGTTGATCACTACCCATTGAGCTTGACAAGATAGTCCGCTTTCTATCCACCTTCCAATCCATACTTCCTTAACTTGCAGGCAAGAATATTGTGGGAGTCCGTATCAAAAGCCTTGCTAAAGTCCAGTTATATTATGTCTACTACCTTCCCCACACCCACAGAGCCAGTTACCTTGTCATAGGAGGCAATCAGGTTGCTCAGGTATTACTTGCCCTTAGTGAGTCCATGTTGACTATTCCTGATCACTTTCCTCCCTTTCCTTTCATGATTTTTTCAGGGATTGAGGTGAGGCTGACTGGTCTGTAGTTCCCTGGATTTGCCTTTCCTTTTTTTTAAAGATGGGCACTACATTTGCCTTTTTCCAGTCGTTCAGGACCTCCCCCGATCACCACGAGTTTTCAAAGATAATGGCCAATGACTCTGCAATCACACCAGCCAACTTCTGGATTATGCTGCTCAAGCAAATTCACTTTTGTTTCTCTTGCCTATCCCTTCTTGCATTTATCTCCAGACTTCTCTTTGTCCAGATCTATTCTTCCCGCATCATTAAACTTTGTGAAACTTTGCACTTTTAGAGAGAGGTAAGGGATTGACTCTGAGTACACAAATTTGCAGAGGTACAATAGGATTGAGGTATTATTAATTTAAACACTTGCGATTAATAAATATGTTATCTCTGGAAAGACAAATCCACAGTTTGAGAAGTGCAAAACTAAGCATCTCTGATGTTATCTTCTAGATTGAGCACTGTCTCATTGGGTAGCTAGAGAGATTAACCTAGCCTGGAACCCCATAAGATTGGATCCCTAATCCACAAGCTCATACCAAACTTTTCTTAAACATTACATGAATATATTGTCTCATACTATAGAATTAGAATTTGCAGTCCCTGTTACATTGTAGCTCAAAGATATCTCATCATGGATCGTAATTAAAACTCTTTAGATCTATCTTCTTCAAAAAGCATTTTATCTAAAAAATGTGATTTAAATTAAAAACTGATTTTTTTAATTTTTTTTAAATCATTGATTTTTATCCATCCTGGTTCTAGGGGTGGAGTATGGGTGGCCTCACATCAGGCTATTTGGGAAGGCAGAGTCTTCCCCTGTCTATCATTCCCATCTCCATGATAATTAGCACTCTTCAGCAACCCCAAAAGAAAATCAAGAGCTGAATAGATCCTTGAGATACAACAGGCCCATTTGGTCTTTCTCTTGTGAACCATTGGCTCATGGTAAAGTGAAGCCTGCCCTATTGTGATCCTTCTGTACCTGCTTTGTGGATAAGTAGAGGATTTGAATATTCAGAGCTGACAGTCTAATGCCTTTTTCTAGCACTGATGCCACAATTAATGTTTCTTACCTTGGGAGTCCTCAGAATATTGAGTGCAGGTGATGTAGCATTTTAACTAAATGATTGAAAATGGCTAGATAGGTTTGTTTTTTATCCCCTTTGTTTTTGTGTTGTATCTCAGCATTTTTTGGAATGCCAGTGCCTCATTGTATTTCTTACATGGAGTAGTACACAATGGACACTTTGCTCCATATGAAGTTAAATGGTTTAATATTCACATAAGAAGAATACTGACATCAGACTCTTAAGATACTATTAATGAGGTTTTTTTATTGCTTGTATTATGTAAGTGTTTATTGTCTTAGATATTTTTTTTTAAGTGTTGCTGTCTGCAGTCCTGTGTAATTATCATCAGGGTTTTGCGAGATCTTTGCCAACGTGTACCAACATGGGGTGCACTTCCAGACTGGGTAAGGAAACAAGCCTTTTCTGTGACACACTTCCTCTGATTGCTATGATGCAAGACGCTTTTTTGTAGCAACACTGATGATTATTGGGGACTTTGAAATGAAATAAAAGATAAGCTAACCACACAAGTACATTGGATATATAGGGCTGAATCTGTTGACACCAATGACAAAATCTACCCACCTCAGATGCTCTACGTTTACTCTCCCAGAATCTTGGCTGCTGGCCAGTGTTCCTCTGATTGCTATGATGCAAGACGCTTTTTTGTAGCAACACTGATGATTATTGGGGACTTTGAAATGAAATAAAAGATAAGCTAACCACACAAGTACATTGGATATATAGGGCTGAATCTGTTGACACCAATGACAAAATCTACCCACCTCAGATGCTCTACGTTTACTCTCCCAGAATCTTGGCTGCTGGCCAGTGCAAAGGG